ATAGGTGTGCAAGATAGCATGTTCCAAATTTCATATTCAAAAAAATTAGTATTAAAAAAACTAAAAATAAAATACTTTTAAGACGTTGGACCTAAGATCAAACGGTGAGTGGCTCTCTTGATAAAACAAATGGACGGCTGGATAGTAGAGAGAGGATACAATTTCTATGTTATAGGGAGAACATAAAAAGCTTTACCCAATCTTAAACCTCTCTCTCTCTCCATTTTCGTCGTGCACGTGCATTGAAGGATGAAGTTCCAAGACTCGATTAAGCATCAATTGTACGAGGAATATGGTACAGAAACTTAGTGCCGATTATTGTCATCGGTGTATAATATTTATGTATGGTACAAAAAAGTCGCAATCTTTCCTGCCCATTGAATTTAAAATCTGAGCATAATCAATTACAAATAAATATGACTTTCCACTACGAGTAAATATGACTTTCCACTATCAAATGTAAACGGTCTCATCTTATACTCTCTATTGATATTGTGATATCATCATTAATAAACGTTATCAGGATATTATCGGATGGATCGTTTTTCTTAGGCATCTACCAGAATATTTTAAAAAAAATTTATTATATAAACGCTATATTATATTCTGTCATGGAATAGATATAAATTCCTTATCAAAGCCATCGTGGAAATGCCGCTTGTAGAAAGGAGCTCCACGGCCAGGATGCATACACAACTTTTGGTTTTAATGGTCCAAAACAAAAGAAATTAGATAAAAAGATCCCCATATTCTAAAATTCTGTTAGAGAGAGAGCTCGAACAGTGGGTAGAAAGAGAGAGAAGGAAAAAGGGTAGAGAGGGAGTGTCCGCAAAGGAAGAGAGAGAGAGAGGCGAGGCTCATAGGAGGTTTAGAGAGAGAGAGAGAGAGATGACAGGGTGGACGATACTGCACTTACAAACTTACAACACCAAGCATGAAACATACAAACTTACAACTAGAAATCTCTTCTCATGCATTACAATTCTTCGTATCTGGCTGTGGAGGATACTGCACATAATCCAACCCATTTACACATTTTCAAACACCAGAAGAGAGACCTTTCTTTCATATGTAGAAGTCGGTTTGCTTGGATTGAGCTTTGAGATCCTTGAGTTTTGTTAAGATGTTAGTGAAGTACTCCTGAAGGTACTTCTCTAAGGTGACGATGTCTTTTGGGTCCACACCTAGAAGACTGAATGTCTCAGCCATAGGAACTGAGAAAACTGTATTACTCGAAAGAACCTGAAATGCAGTAACCATGTATAAGATCCTATACTATCCAGCACAACCATTCACCTCAAGAGAAGCAATCCTTTCCAGCAATAGGAAAGAATACCATATTACCATTATATTAATGACCATGGGAGAGGGATGTATACGAGTATCCTAATGATCCTGGGGAGATGAGGATTGCAAACCCAACCCCACCCTCTCTCTCTCTCTC